GTGTGTGTGTGTGTGTGTGTGTGCATTCACACACACACACACACACACCCACGCGCGGCTGGGATAGGGCCAATTGGGCATGGAGCAGGCACGCGCGTTCCGAGTGGTTCACGGCACTGGTAGTGACTGTACGTCGCGGTCTTTCTGCGCGGACTGTACCACAGCCCGCCGCGCATGCATGCACGCACCGCGGCACCGCGGTACAGCCACTGATAGTGGCGGCATTCGATCGCCGGGGCGTCGGTGGCTCGGTCGGGCGCATCCCGCGGTCGTATACAGTGTGGTGCAGCACGCACAGCGACAGCGGGACAGCGCGACACAGCAGACGGATTCGTTCTCTGTCTCTCTCGCACTCACGGAGCACGCCGCATTGGTGCGACGGAGCACTGCGTGGTGCCAGGCCGGAGAGCACGGAGCCGGATTCGACTTGGACTCTCACAGACCGTGATCAGGAGACGGGAATTGGGGTCAAGGCCCTTTTCACTTCGGGTGTAGGTTCCCTTCCCGGCCGCCGTCCGGCCGTCCAGGCTCCGAACCTGCTCCGACGCACGGTGGACCCGCGCCCCGCCCCGCCCCGCCCCGCCCAGTTCCGCTACGCGCCGCCACCGAGTTCCAACGCCAGCGCCTCGAACCACCATCCTGGCCGGCAGGCCGACGGCTGGCTGGCCGAGGTGCGCGAGGAGCGAGGATCAGGGATCCCATCCAACATTTCGTTTCGTCCTGGAGAGATTCTTCTGACTTACGCCACGGTGCAGTCCGAGGTGCAGTCGGGCACGCACGCACGTTCGCGGAGGCGCTCATTTCACCGGGGATTTCATCCTCCGCGCGAAGGAAACAAAACAAGCCTCATTTTAAACTTGGCCTCGGTTCCAAACTCGGTTCAAAGTCAGATTCAAAGGATTCGGGGGTTTCCAATAAGCCGAAGTCTTGATCCAAGACCTCAGGTGTGAAAGAATTCTTTCACCTGAGGTGCATACAGGCAGGACCCACTAGCTCACGATGCCGTCCGGAATTTCTCTCCCAAGATATCACGGTGTCCCGAACAGGATTCCATTCAAGGTTCCATCCAGGATCCCACCCACAATCCCATTCGAAACCCGTCCAGAGTGTCCACACGCACTTACACCTCGAAAAATTTAGGTATATTCTTGACTCAACGCTGATGGCACAAGAAGGCCGAAACGGTAACAAATGTGTAGAAATCGTGGTTCTGGCTGAGTTCCGACAGCCACACTGCAGCCTTGGCTGGGGTGTGCGATTTCCCGGCTTGGTGTCTGGAGACTGTCGTCCACGCCCCAGGGTAACCAACTCGAGATCAGTGAACGTCCGAATCACAACTCTAGGAGATTCCATGAGTTTTTGACCAACTTTTTAAGGTTACTGGTCCCAAAATCGTTGAGATGAAAGCCTTCCCGAGGCAAGGCATGAAAGAGTAGAGTCTGAAGAATACTACTAGGACGTTGAGGGGGACCTTCGACGGCAACTAGATCGGACGCAGTGGCCGCCCAAAGTCAGCGAAAACAGCCACTTTCGGAGACTCCATCACCTTTTGGACCAACTTTGTGCGGTTACTGGTCCCGAAATGGTTGAGGTCAAAGTCTTCCCGAGGCATGGCAGAGTAGGGTCCTGGGTGGCGTCCTCCTCCCGGCCCGTGAGTGAAGGCTCGTGGAGGTCCGCGTGGAGGTCCGCGTGGAGGTCCGCGTGGAGGTCCGCGGCCCCGCGGGTGCGGGCCAGCCCGAGGGCCAGCCGTTGTGTCAGGTCACAACATCCGGGCTGCGCTGCTGCGCTGCGCGCTGCTCTGGGATGACACGGCTCGGCGTCCTTCGCGCAGATAACGCGGCGCCGCACACACACACACGCACACACACACACACACACACACACACACACACACACACACACAAACACACACGCCGCGCTCTGTTTTTCTCTTATTTTCTTCACACTCGGCCCGGCGCGCCGGCGTTCCACTTGGCCCTCTCTGTGTACCGCTACGCCGCGCCACGCCCCGTGCAGTACGAAGAGGGGCGGACTGCGGCGTAGCCGGGCGTAGCCTGGCGTGGCCGCGCGGCCCCTACAGAAGACGACCAAAACCGAGGCATGCGTCGATAGGCAGCGAGCGGGACGCCCCACCCCCGCCACCCACCCCCATGGGGGCCCACTCGGCGGACTCGGCGGCGGGACTTTGGACCGCCGCGGCGGCCGCGGCCATTAGGTCACACTGTGCACCCTCGCAGCCTGGCGGCAACCCTAGCAGCCCGCCGTGGCGGCCGCGGCCATTGGGTCACACTGTGCACCCTCGCAGCCTGGCGGCAACCCTAGCAGCCCGCCGTGGCGGCCGCGGCCATTAGGTCACACTGTGCACCCTCGCAGCCTGGCGGCAACCCTAGCAGCCCGCCGTGGCGGCCGCGGCCATTAGGTCACACTGTGCACCCTCGCAGCCTGGCGGCAACCCTAGCAGCCCGCCGTGGCGGCCGCGGCCATTAGGTCACACTGTGCACCCTCGCAGCCTGGCGGCAACCCTAGCAGCCCGCCGTGGCGGCCGCGGCAACCCTAGCAGCCAGCCCTGCCGTCGACTGTCGCCCTCGTACCCCCACGGGGCGCCCTATGAGTGCGAGAGTGAGCCTCAAAATTCGGCATGGCCGCAGCGGCGCAGCCCGCTGTGTAACTCAGACTGTCTCTCTCGCACACCTTCGGCACGCCCAGTGAGTGCGAGAGAGACAGGCGCCCTAAGGGCGGGCGCCGCCACGCCCACCCTTCTGTGACCCAGTCTGGGGGAGGCTTCGGCTTTTTGGCGCCCCACGGCCCCACGGCCCCACCGCCCCACGGCACGACGCATGGCCAAAAACCAGCGCCAAGCAGCCAAATCGGCCGGAAAAGGCTTGCTACCGCTGCCTCTCTCGCACCAAACGGACGTCCCTCGAGTGCGAGAGAGACGGAAACACCGGTTGGTATCAGGTCGCGGATGAGGGAAACGGTGGCGAGCATTTTCGCGCCACTGTGGAGTCTGCAGCCCTACCGAAACCACCCCCACCCCACCGGCCGCGCGCTGAGGAATGGTGTCTTGCGTGACTGTACAATTCCAGATTTCAGGTCCACCTGGTGCACCCGGCCGACGCAGGGCAGGTACAGCAGTGTAGCAGACGGTGAGAGATACAGAAAGATCTGAAAACGTTGCCCAAATGGTCAGTCGTCGTCGAAAATCGCAGCTAGCACGCCCCGTCGCCAGCATTTTCAGCTTCGTCACTGCACTGCGATGACGACACGCCATACTGAAGTGGCTGCCGCACGCGTGCACTGAGCACTACACTGTGCGACCGGAACGCTTTTAGAAAGGAACCAAGCGACATCGAACTGCAGACAGTGGCGCTTTCTCCGACACGCCCAGCCCAATAGGCAGAGTGCATTTGCCGCAGTGTGCCATCGAGAGAGTGGCGGGGCGGGGCGGGGCGGGGCGCGGCGCGGCGGGGCCCGGAGAACCAACGGTATACGGACACTGCCTAGCCCGGCCCGCCAAGACCTGCCGCTCGCGTGGTGCGCCAGCCACGCCAGCACACGTCTCAAAACTTGGTCGGACGGCAGGAATCCTCCGGCAGGCGATCCTGGCTGTCCTGGCGAGGGCGGCATGCACGGACCGTGCCACAGTGGGCCAGAAGACCGATGGAGGCGGCCAAAACTCTAGACGCGTTTTGAGCTCCAGGGTCACTAAATGGGACTCGAACCGAACGTGTGACCCCACCAATGGACTCCTCGTTCGGAGAGCAATCCATTGGTGGGGTCACACGTTCGGTTCGAGCCCCATTTAGCGACTCTGGAGCTCAAAACGCGTCTAGAGTTTTGACCGCCTCCACTGGTCTTCTGGCCCACTGTGCGTGCACCGCACCGCACCGCGCCGCGCCAAACCAGGTTCAAGGTTTTCGGAAAAACGTCACGCGCGCAGTCGAGACTCCCAACTACGAAACGGAGCCATCGGGAACGGCGTGGCGGCGTGGCGGCACGGGCCCGTGAGCGACAGAGACGGACGATCGGTGCCAGGGACAGGGAGGAGGTCACATGAGCCTCTTGCCAAGGACAGGGCATAACAGCTCTTGATGAAGGGACATGGGCCTAGCGCCCTCCGTCTGTTCGCCCGCCTGCCTGCCTGCTGTCTGTCTGTCTGTCTGTCTGTCTGTCTGTCTGTCTGTCTGTCTGTCTGTCTGTCTGTCTGTCCGTCTGTCCGTCTGCCTGCCTGTCTGCTGTCTGTCTGTCTGTCTGTCTGTCTGTCTGTCTGTCCGTCTGTCCGTCTGCCTGCCTGTCTGCCAGTCTGTCCGTGGCAGTGCGTGCATCGTTCGAACGGCGCGGCCGGCATGGGGGATGCCGACGGGGGCCGCAGCCGGGCCAACTGCGCCGCGTCGAACGGCTGACGAGTCACAATTTGGTCTGGATTTCGAAACCAGACGAGGCCTGCAAGGCCCGCCAACCTGTAGTGTGAGTGCGGCTTGCGCGCTAGCGCTAGAGAGAGGCAGAGGCGAGGCAGCCCATCTGTGGCCCGCCAGCCAGCCAGCAGGCAGCCCGCCGCGGCCCGCCGCCCGGCCAGCCAGATTGGAAACCTCTAGCAAAAGCGCGCCAACGCCGCCGCGCTAGCGCAAGCTTGCCTCACTTCGAGGACTCGTCGGCCGTGGCACACGTTTTGAACCGACCGGGCCCTGACGGTTTGAACAGTCAAATGGGGCAGGCTTGTGCCTCCTTTCATTGCGTCAGATGTTTGTCCTTCCCTGGCGCCCCCCCCCCTGCCCCTCAGCCGCGTTCATGTCGGAGCGACCAGGCGCTATTTTCGTGGAGATTTCTCCCTGGGCGCAACAATGGACCTGCCGGGCCCAGCTGCAACGCGTGCAGGTGCGCCCGGGCGACGCCAAAAGCGGCACTTTAGGGCAGGCAGTCTTGGACATTCCCTGTGGTTGGCTAATTAGTCCAAGGACCTCCAGAGCCTCGAGACGGCGAGGAGAGGCGCGAAAGCTCACCTGCAGCTCCTCGTGCTTGTTGTCCAGGTGGCTGGTGGCGCGGATAAACCCGCACCGCCACCCCCATTTGGAGATATCCTCTTGAGTAGGGTGGCATCCACTGTACGAGACGAACCGCTTGCCCACCAGCTCCTCGCGGAATTTGTAATCCAGCTTGTAATCCACCATGGCTGGGTGTTGTTGATGCACCTTCCACTTCATTTGCACCACGTTTGCCTCCCCCACACACACTTATTTCTTATTTCACTTGATTTCACTGTATCACTTGTAACCGTCAGCAGCAGGCGACACTGCCGCTGTATGCGTGAACGCACGCACACACGCGCACGCACACCTACACATGACGCACACTCTCACGAAGGCACGTACACCACACTCACACACATATCCACTACACACACTCACATGCGCACACGAGCGCGGAGAACTAGCGCGCGGGACAGGCGAAGCGTCTGCGCCTGCTACATCGGGCTCGGGCTTACTGACGAGTAGGGATGGGGACGGGGCCGTTGGGGCCGCCGCGACGGGGCGGGGCGCGGCGCGGCGTGGCGGCGCGGCGTGGCGGCGCGTAGCGCGGGCCCCGTGGCGGCCGCAGGCTGCCGCAGGCCGCCGTGTCGCTCCGCGCGCCGCGCCAACGCCAAGAAGTAGTCCGCCTGCACTCCGTTCACTCCGTTCACCGCGGCAGCGGCAAGCCAAGCCGAGCCAAGCGCCAAGGCAGGCGGCCTCCCCGCCGTCCCGCGCTTGTCCCTCCCTCCCCGGCCCGCCCGGCCCGCGCTCAGATCCCTCCGCGCTGAGGGACTAGTTCGCCTCGCAGCGCACCAGCGCGCCTGCTTGCGATCTCCCGCCTTGCAGCGTCGCGACGTCACGCGGCGGCGCTGCCAACGGCGCCAACGGCCGGCCGCGGAGGGGAATTCCCTCTCGAGAGAAACGAGCCGCGGCACACCAACGGCAACCAACGGTTGGCGCCACCGCGGAGACTTTTCTCTCACTCCCTCCGAGAGCACGCCCAGCGAGACCAGCAGACCGTCAGTCCGCGACGCGGCGACCCCGCCAGCAAGTTCGAGGCGTCCGAGGGAAGTTCAAGCCGGCCAACCTGTTGTGGGGGGCGGGGCCAGGCGGGCCAGAGAAACCTCAACTCCAACTTTTGGCTCTGCGTCCTCTCCAACTCGCTGCTGGTTTACACTCGTTCGCGTTGAAACCAGCCGGCGTTCGCGTCGCAGCCACGGATACACGTTCAGACCCGCGCGACGGCACGCCCCGCTTCGAAGTTCCCGCACCGCGCGGCGGCGGCAGGCGGCGGTCCGCGGCGCCCTCGAGGGAAACTTCCCGGCGCGCGCGGCAGCCGTGCCTGGCGGTGGTGGGGGGTGGTGGGGGGGGCGGGGCGGCGCGCCGTGGACTCGGCTTCGGCTTCGGCTCCGCGAGGTTGGCAGCCCGTCATCACAACCAGACCGACCGTCATGGCCGCTGTGTGATTGTTTGTGTTCAGTTCGCTGGTGGAAGAAGGCGACACAGGGTCGCCCGCGGAGCAACGAATGTGATAACTCCAAGAAACAATGATCTCCTCCATAGTTTCGCGACTTGTGATGTGAGTAGTTCGCCTCGGCAGGGCCGCGCTGCGCCGCGGTGCCGTTGGACATGGCGGCAGTGGCGCGGGGCTCGCGCCGTCGCCGTCCCCTTTGTTGTGTCCGTCCTCCGTCTCGCTCGCTCTTTGTCCCGTCCTGGTCTCTTGGGACACCGACGAGGTGCTTGTCGACATGCTCCACGACGACCAGCGAGTCGGGGTGTGAAGCTCGCGGGCCAGGTAGCCGTGCCAACGCTGGGGCGCTTGGAATAAGTCGGTCCGTGTCTCCCTTGCACAGGGACTCGGGGTGTCGGTTCGGACCGCGGCTGTACACTTCTGCACTATAAATAGAAGTTGCAGAAACGGGATAGAGAAGGGAACAAAGAACGCTTTGGTAATGCGAGCGAGCGGGGCTCTCCGCTTAGCGTTTGTCTGAGCGCTGACACGGTGATGCCTGTGGGCCTGACAGTTTGTTTCGTTGGGTGAGGTTAAGTTACGGATGACAGTGTCATAGGTTTCCAACTTGGCAGTTTCATGTTTTTTTCTCATTTCTACCAGCAGTACTGTTCACAGTTCCTGAATATCAGGCGTGATTGTTAAACAATTCCAAATGGGAAATGTCGAACGGTGAAAAATTTCCCTGGGTGTCTTTTGTGACGATAAGTGTCGACTGTCTCTTACGCAGTGATTGTGATTGTGACAGCCAGCTCCATGCCCTGGTTACTACACTGTGATGGGACCGCCCGTGCAGTGCAGGCACGACAGGACTCTCGCTTGAGTGACATTGGCCTGCTTCCTGTTATTTCCTGCTACCGGTGTGCCGGTGGATCCCTCCCTCCCCGCCCCCGCCTTTCCATACCGTTCCAGTTAGATGGCTGGCCGCTCTGCGCCTCCGGAGCCCCGCGAACGCCATCACCGTCCACTCCGTGACCGGCCTGCTCTATTTCCACGGCGCACAGTGGGCCAGAAGCCGGCGGAGGCGGCCAAAACTCTAGACACGTTTTGAGCTCCAGAGTCGCTAAATGGGACTCGAACCGAACGTGTGACCCCACCAATGGATTGCTCTCCGAACGAGGAATCCATTGGTGGGGTCACACGTTCGGTTCGAGTCCCATTTAGCGACTCTGGAGCTCAAAACGCGTCTAGAGTTTTGGCCGCCTCCACCGTCTTCTGGCCCACTGTGCGGCGACTGCTTTTTATTTTGCCGTCTTTTTCCCCCGGCTGTCGCCCGGCTTCCCTGCTTCGCGCCGCTTGGCGCTGCTTGGCGCGCGAGGTGCGGGGGCTAGGCCGCTGGCCGAACGCCTGCACGCCTGCACTTTCTCGCGCGGCTGTACTATCGGAAGCAGATTGGTCGTATCGAGGCGTCCCGTCCCGTCCGTGTCGTTGACTTGGACTTGGCGCGGTGCTGCGGACTCATTCCGAGAGTCGTTCTCGTCGCTCTGTCTCTCTCGGACCTGTAAGGAACGCCCCATGAGTGCGAGAGAGACAGCGACGAAAACGACTGCGTGGCGCGGTCGCCTCCGTGATGTAGACTAGATCGTCCTCCAACAAGTTCGAGCTGTCTCTCTCGCACCGGCGGGGCGTCCCGAAGGCGTGCGAGAGAGACAACCGCTGTTCGGAGGCGCTCTGCAGTCGCCGCGGTGGCGGTGCTGGCGGCCGCGCTCCTTGTAGTGGAACAGGAACTGCGCGGTGTCGCCCTGGATGATGGCGGCGGTGGTGGCGTTGTAGAAATTCGGCTGGGAAGTCGTTTGGGGTCGGTGGCGGCCCTGAGTTCTGCCTAACTGTCGGGGCCGTGTAGTAAGTCTGGCGCACTGCATGCAGGCTGTACCTTGCAGTAGCCTTGCTAGCCTTGCTGTAGCCTTGCTGTAGCCTGCAGGCCTTGGGTGGGGGTGGAACGCGCGAGGTTTGATCGTTCTCCCAGTGCCTGGGCGTGCCTGGCGGTGCCGCGGGGGTGAGTGCGGCGAGATTGTGAAATGGAAAGGGGGGCAGGGGGTGCCCCGTCGGGGTGCCCCATCGGGGTGCGCCAGCCCAGCCCCCTTCCCCCGTTCGCCTGATGTGCCGCACTCGCGGCCCGAATTAGGCCGTTAGCGGCCCCTTCGCGAACTCTGTCTCTCTCGCACTCGCGGGCCCTTGCGTCGCGGTGCGAGAGAGACGGCGGCCTCCGGGTCCTCCGGGCCGTTGAACGCGTTCGGCGCGTGCGGCCCAAGGTTTCTAATTGGCTCGTGCACTTCCGGGCCGGCTCGGCCATTGGCTGGCCATTGGCTGGGCATCCTCGCCGTGCTCGACGCCCACTGCACTGTGCCTCTCTGGCTCTGGCCGCGACCGGGCCGTGGCCAGTCGAGCGGAAACGACTCCTGTTCCGTCAAATCGTTTTCCCGCCCATTTTCCGGTCGTGTTTTGCTCGGAAAATGCTTCCATTAGTCACCGCTCTTAGGACGGCGACGTTGCCGCGGTCCGGCCCGTGGGCCATGGGCCCCGTGGACGCCGTGGACCAGCAGCCTGATGCCGAGAGTCGGTTCCGTCGCTCTGTCTCTCTCGCACCTACACGCGACGCCCTGTGAGTGGAAGGGAGACACAGCGCCGAAAACGACTCTCGGAATCAGTCTGCAGCTCAGCTGATGCGAGGAGGGGAGGGGAGGGGGGCAGCCAATGTCAACGCCATATAAGTACGCGGCGAGCGAGGCACTGGAGAGCGACGCGGCCGCGGGGAGCAACGGAAGAGTTCCGCAGTGTCAAGGCACAGCGAGGCAGGATGCGTGTCTGGCCCGTTTTATTGCCGACGCCGGGGACGTGGGTTCGAATCCCCGCCCCGCTCCCCGTTTTCGTCTCGGAATCTAAACAGCGAATGGCGGATTCGGTTCCGGAAATGCAGTGTGCCGCGCGCCGCTGCCTGCTGACTGACTCCGAGAGTCGTCGCTGTCTCTCTCGCACTCATGGGGTGTCGCGTGCGGGTGCGAGAGAGACAGAGCGACGAAAGCGACTTTCAGAATCAGTCTGCAGTGCCGCGGCGCTGATGAGCGCTGATGGCTGGAATGGCGTTTGCACCGTAATGGCCAATTGCTGTTATTTGGTCCCGTCCAGCTCACCGATCGCGCTGTCTCTCTCGCACTCGCGGGCCTTGCCGCCGGTCCGCGAGAGAGACAGTCCGGAATCAGTCCGCGCAGCGCGGCCGTGGGGCCGTGGGTGGGCCGGGCCGGCCCTTGTACTGTACACTGTATACGCGGCGTCCTGCATGGCCGAGCGGCCGCCGAGCGATGCCGAAGAGACTTCTCTCTCTCTCGCACGCCTATGGGACGCTCCAGGAGTGCGAGAGAGACAGAGCGACGGGCCTGCTGTCTCCGGCAGCGCGGGGAAGTCCACGGTGCCCGAAGGCCCGAAGGCTTGACGGCCTGGAGGAAGGTGAGGAGGAGGCACCTTGAAAAATGGGTTGGAATGGCTGGAGTTGGCGTTCGTTCGTGTCTTTGGGCGTGCCACGGTGTGCCGGGCCGGGCCGGGCTGAGCCGCACAGTGGGCCAGAAGACCGGTGGAGGCGGCCAAAACTCAAGACGCGTTTTGAGCTCCAGAGTCGCTAAATGGGACTCGAACCGAACGTGTGACCCCACCAATGGATTGCTCTCCGAACGAGGAATCCATTGGTGGGGTCACACGTGCGGTTGGAGTCCTGTTCAGTGACTCTGCAGCTTGAAACGCGTCTAGAGTTTTGTCCGCCTCCACCGGTCTTCTGGCCCACTGGTGGCCGGGCGCGGTTCGGCCTTTGCCGTCGCCGTGAGGCGTTGCGTGCTGCAGGCTGGGTCGCGCTTCCGTCCGTCTCTCTCGCACTGCCGCGCCACGCCCCGCGAGTGCGAGAGAGACGGAGTGCTGCGTCACGCGCCTCGTCACGCGTCGCGCAATCGATGTCATGTCGCCATTTGAATTTGCCGCCCCGACGCGCGCGGCGTGTTATGCGGCGGACGGCGTAACAATCGCTCAGGTGTGGCACACTGTGCCCGTCTGCCGCGCGGAGACCGATTCCGAGAGTCGTTTTCGTCGCGCTGCCGCGTGCCCTAAGGGCGCGACAGAGACAGCGCGACGAAACAGTGTGCTGGTCGTGGTGGTGCCCACTGCCGGCCAGCCTCTGGGACGGCCGACTGGACAGCGCTCTTCGCCCTGGTCTGGTGTAGGTGACCAGGTTCAATTCATAAATTTCTACTCTTACGAAAATGCAAATTGTTCTGTTCCTGTAATTTTTGATGTGTTGTTTATTTTTTTCACTTTTTTTATGGGTTTGGCCTGGTTTGAGGAGCAGGCAGGAACTGCCGCTACACATGCACTTTTGCTGCAGGCCAAACGTTTAGCGGGGGGGCGGCAGTGCAGGCTCTGGTGCGAGTCTGGCTTTGGCGCCCCGCCAGCATCCCCCCCCCCCTCCCGGGGGTTCTGTTCAGAAGAGGATACAACAGCTGCAGCCGTCCCCCTTCACTCCCCCTTTCACCCTCACCCCTCCCCCTCCCTCACCCCTTCCCCCTCCCCCCTCCCCCTCCCCCTCCCCTCCCCTCCCCACCCCTCCTCTCACCTTTCCCTTTCTTGCCAACCCGAAGGGCTCGGCTCGAGATGTGAACTCGCGCAGATGGAAGGGCGGAGCATCCACGCCACTGCAAGGCACTGCTCACACCTCGCCTTGTTCTGCTTTGTCATTCAAACAGCTTTTGCGCGTACAGCGCGGCCGATTCCTTGGCAAGGCCGCCAGAGTTTTGGACGATACACCCGAAATACTGCGCCGAACTCTCGATCGCCGGCTGGGCGCGCGCTGCCGTTTGATTTCGCAGTGTGCGGTTTGTTGAATCTCGAATCCAGGTGTGCCTACTCACTCGGCGCTGCTGCGAACCGCCTCCCGCAGTGTGTGTTTCGCGCAGGGTGACGCAATGCCAGTTTAAATTATTTTCGGACACTGCCTCGCGAAGCCTTGTGGTGGCAGTGTGGTGGAACTGCGGCCCTCTATCCTCGTGCACGCCGCGCGGGAATCGGTGTGTGTGTGTGTGCACTGGAAGGCACGGATGACGCGAGCGAGGTGCGTAGCCACGTCCGGAGGATGTCGCCAGAGAGGCTGAGTGGAGTGTCTAGTGCTCCCCGCCCCGCCCCGCCCCGCCCCGCCCCGCCGACGCGAGGCGAGGCAGGCCGAGTCGCGAACTGGGCTGTGTGGGTGAACCTGAACCGCCCGGCCGCGCCGCTCGGTTTCGCCGGACGTGACGGCAGGACGGGGCTTTGCTTTTCGCATTCGCAAGTCGATGGGAGAGTTTGGAGCCTCGCCTCGCCTCGCCGCCAGAGCGCGCGCCGCCCGGTCGGCCCGGCCCGGTCGGTGGCCGATGAGAAAATGACCGAACCGTTGAACCCCTCCCCTCGGCCCGCATTTGCATACGCCGCGGCCCGTGTACGGACTCACGCACACACTCGCACCCCGAAAGGCCCGAAAGGCGAGCGGACGCACAGGCAGTGCACGGTGCGGCACGGTGGGTTGCAGCGCACAGTGGGCCAGAAGACCGCTGGAGGCGGCCAAAACTCTAGACGCGTTTTGAGCTCCAGAGTCGCTCAATGGGGCTCTAACCGACCGTGTGACCCCACCAATGGATTGCTTTCCGAACGAGGAATCCATTGGTGGGGTGACACGTTCGTTTTCTGTCCCATTTAGCGACTCTGGAGCTCAAAACGCGTCCGGGATTTTGGCCGCCTCCACCGGTCTTCTGGCCCACTGTGCAGCGGGCGCAGCGGGCCGCAGGATGAACTCTGCTGGTCGCTCATAGGCCGTCGCGCGAGAGACATCGACAGCTTGCTGCGGCAGGCCGTGGCGGTCGCTGCGCCCTACAGTGTGGCGGTACCGTGAGGGCTCGTCGCTAAATTCGGCCTCCTGGTTCTCGTTTTCTTTCTTGCCCTCGCCGCAAACCCTGGCGCCGCCACCGCCGCCCCGATAGGATGGCGTGTCAGTAGAGAACGCCGCCGCGCCGTCGCCGTCCAGGGCGTGAGCGTGGCCGGGGCATCGGTGATCACGACGGCGACGCGGCGCACCTCCAAGATGCCCCTGTCCACGCTCCGCACTCACCGCCTCCTCCACTCGTGTTGCAGATTGGTGTTCGGCACGCTGTACCCGGCCTACGCCTCCTACAAAGCCGTGCGCACGAAGGACGTGCGTGAGTATGTGAGTATCTCCCGTTCAAATAGTACCCATTCTTTGTTGTTGTTTGTTTACTTGGCGGCGGTCTCGGGGGGCGGACGCGCGCGCAGTTGCATCGCGCGGACAGGAAAGGGGGTGGGGGCCCCACTGGGGGTGCCAATTTGTATGCAGGTGCAACAGAAGCCGCGGCCGGCTAGGCGAAAGGTGCCCCGCGCCCCCCGCGGCCCCCGCGCCCCGTTCCCGTTTCGTGCGCGACGCGTCTGCCTTCCGCGTGTGCGTGCATGCGCCAGAGAGCGCTACGCGTCTCGGCAGGCCTTTCGTCCGTCTCCCTCGCACTCGCGCGGCGTCCCCGAGGGGCCCGGGGGGCCCAAGGGGTGCGAGAGAGACGGGGCGACGGACGCTCTGTTCGGAATGAGCCGGCCGGCCGTGCGTGTGCTCTATGCGTGCGGTGCACGCGGCACGCGGCGCGGCGCTGGCGGCCCGCCAAGTGGAGTCGGGCTGGCTCGGGCCGGGGCGGGGCGGGGCGACTGAACTCTCGAGGGAATGACAGCCTCGCGCCCCGACTGCCTTAAGTCGGGGGAATTTTCCAACTTTCCGCCGAACGGGGAAGGCCTGTGCTCATCCCTGTTCGCGCAAGCACGTGAAAAAAGAAAGCTCGCCTACAGTGTGTGTGTGTGTGTTCGGTTGCAGGTGAAATGGATGATGTACTGGATCGTGTTCGCACTCTTCACGTGCGCCGAGACCTTCACAGACGTCCTGCTCAGCTTCTGGTGAGGCTCTCAACGTTTGACAGACGCCGGCGTCGGCGGTGTGGTTTTTGTTGTGACTGAAGTGTAAGTGATGTGCTCTTGTTGGCAGGTTCCCGTTTTACTATGAGATGAAGATCATCGTCGTCCTCTGGCTGTTGTCTCCGGCCACAAGAGGCTCCAGCATTTTGTATCGCAAGTTCGTTCACCCTACGCTGAAGAAGAAGGAGCAGGTATGGCGGCCAGCAGCCTATGTTGTGTTGCTGAGTTCATTGAGCTCAATTGTTTTGTGTTTACTAACTCTCTTTCTTGATTTTCTCAGGAAATTGATGAAGCTATAAACCACGCTAAGGCCCAGGGGTACAGAACAATTTTGCAACTGGGCGCCAGAGGTGTCGACTATGCAAGATATGTGATCATGCAGACAGCCATCAAGGTCAGTCCATGCTTATCTGTTCTCTTTGTTTAGCCCCTCAAATTTCCTGCCAAGCATGAGTGCAGAAAATTGGCATGTGGTTTCGCTTTGAGCCACATGCTTTGTGTCTGAATGGTGAGAGAACTAACTGAAAAACCCCTAATATCTTCTATGTTCTTAAATTGTTCACCTTTGTTGTTTCACTCATTATTTGAATTCAAAAAATGCATATTAATTGTTCGCATTGATGCTTTGTTGAACTCGCACCAATTTGGCTCAACAATTAGAACACCTTCATGGGCATGCACCCAATCATGTTGAGCACCTCACTCATGCACATCTCTTGTCCCTAACACTTACGTTTGGCACCTAACTTGAATGAGCTTTGTTTTTTTTTTCTTTTGCTTTTGCTATCTAAAGGGCCTGCAAAACACTGCACAGCTGGGGCCATCCAACCAAACGTGGTCAGCTGTAGACGGACCAGCACCTGCTATGAGGAGTGAACCTGCTCCCCAGTTCACAAATGGATACTTAGAACCAGAGGATTTGGAGCATCTTGATGCGTTCCAATACTCTGACGATGAAGACTTCGTGCCACCAATCCCAGCTGCGAAGGAGGAAATCGAAGAGCCAGAGGCAGAACCTGTAGAGGAAAAGCGCCCTAAGCGTAGAAGTGCAAGAAGTAGGAAGCAGAAGCAGGTGGTGCAGTATGTTGAAGAAGATTTCGATTATGATGATTAGAATTTCTCACTCTTGGTGTTTCAAAAATTTCAGTTTCATATTGTCACTGTAAATGATGAAATTTCTAGCATATCAAGGAAAATGAGGTGGTAGTTTCTTTGAACTACTGTAATATTATATTCCCTCGTAAATTTGCATTGTTACTTGTAATTCAGATTTTTAAATGCTACCAGGCATCAAATATAGTTCTTTTAAATCATCCATTTGTTCAGTTGTCTAGTCCATTATAGACTGTAGAAGGCACATTGTCTGATCTTGGTTGGTTCTCTGATGTCTGTTTTGTGTTGCCTCTGTAATCCTTTCATGTCTCAAGTATAACAACTTTTTCTGTGTAAGAACCATATAGACTGTTTATTTTTTTTAAATAAAAATATGATTTGTTTTATACTATTAAGTAAGAAATTTCATGGCTAAGCAAGGAATCTCACAATAATTTTCTGTTCATAGCTGCCCCTGTGAAAGCTTTAAATAAGACTAATAATGCATTTGTAATGACTGAGTATTCATAAGACGTACTATATGTATTTTAGGATTTTTAGGTGTTTTTTACTTATTTGTATTATTGTCAGGGTCCATGTTACTTGTACGAATGCAACATTACTATTGATGGCACCTAAAATGTTGCCAGTGCCTTTTATAAAATTGAAATAATACAGTGTACCTTTCAAAGAGGGCATGTTGTATTTGCAGATATAATCTGCCATGTTACTTAAGTAAATAAAATGCCTTATTTTTCCCCTTTTACAAAAACTTGTTGATGTCTTTGACTTCTGTTAAACCCCATTTAATTTCTAATGTTGGTTTATGTAAACAACCCCTGTTTGAAGCATGGCAGTTGCACATAAAAAACGCACTCCACCCCCTGCATGTTACTACCAATGCCTTTCAATTTCTCAAACTCATAATATTGTTCATTTCTTATTTCCATTAAATTTTTCAGTACATATGTCTTATAATACCTTGTTTCTATGCCTGGCCAGGGAGGAGGTGGATTAATGAACCAACTCAGGAAGAGCTATAGTCTATCAGATTTGACTGATCAACATGATGGGCCAAAATACAGAGCCATTGGCCTGGGTAGTCTTCAAGAGGAGCATGATATAGTGGATCATCACGGAGGTAAGACCTTACAAATAACAGCTTACTCTTAGTTATGGGCATGCCTGGTCAGACAGCTCTGAGTTACTGAAGATGTGTTTTTGTTGGTTCTGCAGATCCACAATACATGCGTAGATCATACATGCATCCTGCTCACCGGTCAGGTTCTGTACCTAGTCCTATGGAAATGTATTTCTCTGAGGTCGATTTAGATTTGAGGAAAAGAAGTAGAGAGGAGAGGCAGGCTGCCATTGGGTGCGTGAAAAACATTTTTGTCGTATTTTTATTTGATTGTAAAATTGCAACCATGGAACACTGCCTACAGTGTAGGAAGAAATGAATTAATTTTATTTGTATGATTTTCCAGCCTTCCCCTATCTTTGGAAGATGTGAGCTCTGGCTACTCCAGCGCTGACCATTTATTCAGCAGTTCTCAAGGAAATTCCCCCACAAGTGACCATACTGTAGAGGACATTTTATTGCGCTCCTCATCTATTGGTTCAACACACACAAAATCCAGAAAGCCTTTATACGGTGGTATGTCTTCCAATAAAAGCTCTGAGGTAAGTTCTTTATGATAATGTCCACAGTAATTGTTCTTAAAAAAAAAATAATAATAATAATCCTGTAAGCTGGAGGTTTGTTCTGGTACTCCTATTATCCTTCAAGGTCAAAGCTAATTTTTAAGAGTAGTATTTTCATCAAACCATTGTGTTTAAATTTTTAGAATGTCTTTTATTGAATATATTCCTGGTTGATGATCTGTAAATGAGTTCTAGGACCCTGTCTGTTTCTCTTTGAAGGGTATTGGATCCTTGGTGGGGACAGACGAATTAGATTTTTCATTGGACGCCTCTGGGTCTCCCTCTCCTCCTGCCTCTCTGCTGTCTCAGTCTATGCTATCAGAGCTCAGAAACTTACTGTCATCAAGAAAAGGGGACATTAACCGACTTCTGACATCTCAGACTCCGAGTGGAAACTTTGCATATGCCAAGATTTCTGATAGTATTGTGACAAAGCTGACCCCTTTAAGACAGCCACTTAATGAAAATATCAAGCGTAAGAAATTGGTCCCCTTTGAAAGAAAACCTTCACCTCTGTCCTTTCTTCCCACGACACCACAGAGCTCTGGTAGATCAGACATACCAAGTACTGCCAATGTGGCGACTGATGACGTGCAAGACTCAAAGGAACCATCAGGTCGAGCTGGACGTTATAGAAAATTACGAGCCCCTGGTCCTCCTAGCAAACATACAAGTGATTCAGAAAGTATGTCAGATGCAGAGCATGGTACAGTCTTGAGAGCTCGCATGTCTCTTGTGTCCTCCAAGAAAATGAGTGGAAGTGTTAATATTTTGGTTGAAAGTAATGCAGGAAAATCTGCTGTAGAGCATGGCACTAAACCAACCTCCATTGTGCTTATTAGGAGAAAAGCTGGTTTAGGCAATCTCCTCGCTCCCTCTTCTCTCTTGAGAAAAAGAGTCGCTAAATATAACCATTCCCTATCAATGCCAAATTTGAATACTACCTCACAATTCTTTAGGCCTCATGCCTCACCTAACTGCAGCTAACTCTAATACTTGACAGTAACAAAGAAAAAGTATATTAAGATTGCAGTTGTTTTACCCTCATTATAGCAGGAATAATACTGCTTTCTCTATTAGCTATCTTACTTGTTTTGAGTGGTGTGTGTTTGTTTGTGTGCAAAATTTGAGGGTTTTTTAATAACTATTAAAAGCCCTTGACCCCACAAATTATTTTTCACTAATTTCTTGGATGAAATGTACTTCAGTGTTTTCGAATCCAGTGGTTTTAGCACTGCTGTCCTTATCCACAACCTATCTCCATACCTTAGTTTCCTTATCTTGACTACAAGTTATGAAGTATTAAGAGTGTTTTCAACAGACTCAGACACAATTTATCTGACACTTTTTGATAAATTAACAGATGCCGGGTTATGTGACTCTACCACGTCTCCGGAGGACTCCAAGAAAACGAATAACTCAGTGAAGCCTGCAAGTGTGTTACCAGAGGACTCCAAGATGTGATTTGATTATTTGACTTTATGACCACAGCAAAAGATGAAACATTCTTTGGAAGGTTGTATCCTTTCAATATTTGCATTTGGTATAGCTTGTGGGCAATTCATACGGTAAATTCTTTATCTATCAGTTTTAAAACAACTTGCAAGAAAATAAGTAATTGCTCCTTTTCTTTTTGCAAAAGTTGAAAAGGGGTAAATTTTATCTTTTTTATTTTCACATGTAGGTTTAGGTATTTACATGAAATGTAAATATTCATTCTCTCTTTGAAGTATAGATAAGTTATACTTCAGATGATGAGAAGAGACGAGATATTGTTTATCTACCACAGTGAAGTTTAAAATTCATCATTTAGGATTTTAAAAATGATATAGTTTCTAAGCATTGTCCCTGAAGGACATTTCATTTCCAATTGTGCTTGTTATTGATGTTGACTGTTTAATGTCTATTTTGCTCTGTCTAGTCAGCCTTGTGTTATTAACCATCTTAAAGCTTAGATTTAACGTTTGGCATACTTAGCCCATGTGTATGAGTTCTCTTTTAAGCACTGTAGTTGAGTTTTGTGCCGTTGGTATTTACTAATGCAACAATCATCAACATTGCCCCTCTTATTTGTATTTTCATCCAGAAGGCAATCATTAAGCTTTTTTTGGTGTCTATTCATGCTGTACTGTAGTCATCATGGTGTGTTTTGTCATCCAGATGCTATAGTAGACTGTGTGTGTTCTAGAAATAAGTGACTGTGATATAAAATGTTTCAGGCTTCTCAGAGCTAAATCATTAGCCTCAGTATCCTGTTAAAAATATTGTGCTCTATGTGAGCACGAGCCTATTCCATTAAGACTTAACTAATCCATCTTTTGTCATACTGGGAGGTGGATTTTTTATTTTGTTGAAATGAACCTGTTATTTGCTGATTTGGCGCTCGAAAAAACTTTAGTCTTGAATTGTACATATTGTTCAAGTATATTATATATAATTTGCACATCCACCATTGTTTTCCCGAAATAATTTAAGAGTTATGTAAATGTGTTGAGAAATAAATGAATACTGAAAATAGTTCTACTTAGTTCTATTGTATTTACAGTCATTGGTACCACACTGAACAGCTGATAATGCTATGAAGTCAAAACAATACAATATTATAAAACAGTAGGAAACAAGAAAGCAGGATGGAAAACTTAATTTAATATCAATAAGTTGCACAACAAGGAAAACGAATAAAGAAGCAAGATGTGATTGTTAAACAATATGAATAAAAAAACAAAACATGATTCAAATTTGGAAGTGAATGCTTTCATGTTCAAAAGAGAAAGATATAATTTACTACAGGAGAGGAAGTATAAGGCACTTCCTCAGTCCTTAAGCAATAACCTGCTTAAAGCCTGATTTCTAAAGTTCTTATATGGGGTGAAGTTGACGTTTGAATTCAAGATGGCGATCTCTTGATGTCCATAAGCAGTATGCTGCAGCAATACCCAAGCCAACAGCTCCTCCAGTTGCACATTTCCTTAAGCCGGCTGAATAAAACAAATAACAAACAATAAAAAACTGCCCTCATCCAAAGAGGTCTTGAAGAGTGTTAATTACTTTCATTATATTATGATCAGAATACTCACAGGTAGATTTATAAACCATTCCAGTGAGAGTAGCTGCGGCTAACGTGTTCAGTTCATCTTCAGCATTGCGAAAATATGACAAAACTACACCAAAGCCACTGTACATCAAAGCTATAATTCCTAATGTGTTGGCTGATGCAGCTCCTTTCTTCATAGTGTGGTTAATTAACCTGTAATTTCAAGAAAAAATAATTTTCAAGCAATCGTTATTAAAACACATTATTAAACATGTCCTTTAAAGACTGAGTCTTGCACTTACTGTGTTACTCTGAGGCGGCCCTTCTGACCAGCTAAAGTTGTGAGTCTAAGGCCATTATATAAACCTCCCATGCCTCCGACACCAGCTCCGACCATACACGAAGCTCCGATCTGGGAGAAGGCATGTTCAAACCGCCCTCTTTGCCTTGCTGCTCCTTCAGGGAATATGAACTCTGGTTGAGTGGGAGGCAGATACACTGGATCGAAATTTAGGTAGGGTGACAAGTGTCTCAAGTTGCCTTGAACATTGACTGAAAAACAAAAGCAAAAGAGACAAGGATGAATAAAACACAATAATGAAAGTTGAAAATAGCAAAATATCAAATGGTATGGGAAAAACACCGGACAAAAATTATTCACAAGGAACTAGGATCCTACAGTAGTTCAGAAAAAGATAAGAGAAAGCACTGTCACAATTTGCAGGGTGAAAATGAATAGCAATCAAAGCAAAACACACACGGAATTTAGGAGGTTAAGACAGCATCAAATGGTATATCTTTTGAAGAAAGGAGGACGAGACAGGACCCAAGCGTCAGTTCGAAATTAAGTACGCAACTAAAGCATGACAGGCTTACATCAAAATCACAATTCTATCAAGATATCAACAGTTTCGTCACTTTTGCAAGGGTCGGAATTCGTCTGGAGCCGAACTGCTCCATCAGATCACCACTTTACCGAGGCTTGTCTCCCTTACCTGGAATGTTAACATCACTGTTTGAATAGGACTTGGACCCGTCGTCATCCATGTTAAATGAATTTCACTAGCAGAAGGGCTGTTTTATTTTGGGTACTGGAGAAATATCCCGAAAGATGATCTTCGTTTCAAGGCTACTCTACGTTGGGCGAAAGGGGATCAAAGAGCGCATGTGCAGACTGCGCGACTTAGCGGAGATGGTACCGGAAGTGGATTATGTCTGTTGAGAAGAGAAAAAATTGTCACCTGGCTCTTGTGATAGACAGAATACGAAATGCTGTAGGAAATAAGGTACGTTTGCTAATTTATTACATAAAAAATAAAAAGATACGCTAAGAATCCGTGGGTCTTAGTACATCCGGTCCTTTCTCTCCGAAATCGAAGAATGGAAAAGAGCAAGGCGGTGCCTTTGAGTTTCGGAGGGAAAATACGACGGGCGGCGTGTGTTCGTTTGACGGCGTGTGACACGACGCAGCTGGACTTGGACACATAAAGATCTGAATGTGATTCGTCGAGAAGAGGATAGGAACTCCTCCCAGTGTTTTGCTGCGATACTTGAAACCAGGAGAGGAAACAGGTGATGTCAACACTCAGTCCAGGCACGCAGGAGGTCGCGGTCTAAGATGCTTGTGCTCACCCACTCGGGCTAGAGGCGGCCGAGGCGGCAAGGAAGGTAGCCATCTTGCCACTGAAGTGCGGGGCGTGCCGGTCTCACGTGCTTGCCTTGCTGCTCAGCGCATTCCAAAAAGCTTATTCCCAACGGAGACAGGTCCCCAATCATTCTCCTGCTTTTAAACCACGTTTTTGATTCAAGTGTATTTTTGCCATGAGGCTCAACAGATTACACTGAAAAATGAGGGGGGGGGGAGGGTTCGCCGATGTTACAGCAACCAGTCGTTGGCTCGCAATGTTTTTCGTTTGCGGCTTGGAGGAACCAATCACCATACGTCAATCACTCGTTTCAAACTGCCGTGAATTGCAGGTGACGACAGTGACGACACGGCGCGATGAGTGGCGGGCAGAACTCGGGCGCGGCGTCCAGCAGGGACTCCGACCCTCCCCCCGCCATCCTGTGCGAGATGAGCGTGCCCGGCCTGGACTCGCTGTACGCCTTCACGGCCTCCATCGACCGCAGCGACCTGAGGGACCCGTCGGCGCGCTCGGACTTCCATTGGCAGACCTTCAAGTGCAGGTCAGTGGCAGCGAGTGAGTGGTTTGGGTGTGGAACACGGGGGTCTTTGAACGGCGTTTGCTCAGGCTGGCGATCTTCACGCTGCCCGTGTTGGTGTGCCCCGTGAGGCTGCCGGGCGGCCCGCTGCGCGACCTCACCGTCATCTGCCGCCGCCAGGACCTGGACGAGGACCTCCAGGACGGCGTCCAGGACGGCCGCGGGGAGGCGGGCGGCATGTCGCCGCTGCGCGCCAAGCTGGCCTCCCTCCAGCTGGCCCTGAGCAGGCTGCGGCCCGCGTCCAGCGCCGAGTACGCCGCCTGCCTGGAGTACACGCTGGCCGCGCGGATGGCCCCGCTGTGGAACCCCGTGGCCGAGTCCCTGGTGCGCGGCAAGGACTTCCTGAGCAGCGGCAAGCTGACGGACGCCGTGCGCCTGCGGGTCAACGTCCACGGTGAGTGCGGCCAGGGCCTTGGGCAGGGCAGGGCAGGAGTGAAACGAAAACTCCCTCAATCGTCATTTGCGGACGTCCCACCCCCACCCCACCGGCGGCACAGTGCGCGCGCTGCCCATGAGAAGCACGGCCGCACAGTGGGCCAGAAGACCGGTGGAGGCGGCCAAAGTCCCGGCCCGGACGCGTTTTAAGCTCCAGAGTAACTAAATGGGACTCGAACGTGTGACCCCACCAATGGATTGCTCTCCGAACGGGGATTCCATTGGTGGGGTCACACGCTCGGTTCGAGTTCAGTTCAGCGACTCTGGAGCTCAAAACGCGTCTGGAGTTTTGGCCGCCTGCGCCAGCCTTCTGGCCCACTGTGGGCCGGCTACTGAGACACGGCCGAGAAGCGACTCGGCTTCCTGCCTGCAGTAATTTGGCGCGAAATGAACGGGAAGGGAGTAACGCTGCCCCTTTCTGGCCCTAGCGGTGGCCCAGCAGACTGATTCCGAGAGTCGTTTTCGTCGCTCTGTCTCTCTCGCACCTGTTCGGGACGCCCCATGAGTGCGAGAGAGACAGAGCGACGAAAACGACTCTCGGAATCAGTCTGCCGGTGGTGGGCGGCAACTTGATTGGAACGAAAGGTGATTGGTGGGCGGGCGCGGGTGATGGTAACCAATTTTCACCGCGGACGGGCAGTGAGAGAGAGGGAAGGGGAGGGGGGAGTAATTGTGGCCGGGCCGGCAGCCCACGGCAGCCCAGCATCGCGCGATGGAAAGTAATGTCCCGCCGGCTAATGGGCTAATGAATGGCCTACGTGCGCACGTCGTGCGGCCACACTGTAGGGACAGTGTCCGGGACGGGGTTCGGTCCTCGACGCTGTGCTCGACGCTGTGCTCGGGGCACAGACTGGCCTATTGGCGCTGGTCAAGGCGCTGGTCGCTGCGCGCCTTACGGTTGCGGGGGAGACGCGTAGAACATGGTCTCATTGATTTTTGCCGTTTCGGTTTCACGTTCGAATGACTATGGATGCTATGCAGCCCGCTGTCGGTTTGGTTCGCAGAGTTCCTTTCTTTTTTTCCTTTCCGGTGTACTGACCCAGTCTGCGTGATGTGTTCGCAGGTGAAGGGGGCACGGCGTGGATCAGCATTTATCCGAGCCGCATGCGGATAGCGCCCCTGGCCATGGGCGATATGGACGTGAGCGTCCCCGTCCTGGCGCGCTTCCAGGACAGCCCTCTTGGCGAGGTCCCGGCCACTTGCATCGGCAATCCATGGGTCAACGTCTTGCCCAGGTCCGAATCGACCCCCTTGTTTTTCCTTCCAACAAAAACAAGGGCGCTGTGTTTGCATGCGCGTCACTGGTTTTTGTTGTTGTTTTGTTCCAGCCTCAAGAGGGGGATGGTCACTTCCATTACCAAGACCATTCCGCCGGAGTGCCCGTTCCAGCGGTACAAGGACTTCCGGAGGCACTGGAAGAACATGGTTAGTGGGCGCCGGGCGCGCTGGGCAGCACTAGGCAGTCGGCGCGACGGAAGGCCGCGGGCCGAGCCCCGGGCAGCAGGCAACCCGCCAAGCAGTGGTGCCGTGCGTGACGTGCGTCACATGTCCTTGTCCGCCGGCCCTGGCCAGCCCTGGCTGGCCCCTCAGGGCCTCGGCCGGCCCAGGGGCAGCAGCGCGAAGATGAGAAACTTTCGGCCGTTGTTTTAGATCTTCCTCAGAGAAGGTCAAGACGTAGGGGTGCATTTTGGTTTCAAAGTTCTCAGTTTTGCAGCAGTTCTTGTGTAGGGTGCCCAAGGCTCAGTAGGCAGTCTCAGCCTTAGAAGCGAGGTTACAGTGTTGTGGCGCTGCTTGCAGTACGGGTACCGCCTGCCGGACGACGACGGCGGCCTCCCCTACGTGTCCGTGTACTTCGAGCGGCTGGGCAAGGCCATGTGCTACCCCTGGCTGTGCCTGACGCCGCAGCCGCCCGTCTCGCTGCGCGCCCGCGACCCGCCGGCCGTGGCGGCCGCCTTCCTCGCCGACGTGGCCTCCAGGATGCCGACGGTGTGCGGCGTCGCGGCGCCCATCGAGCTGGACGGCGGCCTGGTGGAGCCCGTGGCGCAGCTCTGCGCCGTGCGGGGCCTCCGCCTGCGGGGCGAGCCGGGCCTCGACGGTGACCCCGGCGCCACGCAGCCCAACCTGCAGCCCTATCAGCACCAGCCCCGGGGCAGCGGCCCCGCCCCATCGCCGAGCCGGGACGGCCAGGACGACGCCGCACTCACCTGCCCGCTCAGCATGGCCACGCAGAGAAACGTGAGTGTTCCAAGGGCGCCTCAGGGAGCAGCCATAAATTAGCCGCTTTTTTGGCCGGGGCTCTTTCCGCGAGGTGGATAACCTTACCGGTACAGTGCATAATAATTGAAGCGAGAGCACCTCCCCATCCCTCTCTCCTCTTTCGGGCGCACGGTTTGTGCCCCCGTGCGTTTGCTCCCGCACATTTTTAATGCACGGCAGATTCCTTCCTCGCCTTTTTCTTCTTTTTTTGTGAGGATGGCGCTGCCTATTCAAGAAGCCCTTTTTTCTGTGCTCTTTACCCCGCGGCCCGTCTCTGAAGCTTTGAAGTGCGCCCCGCTGAAGTGCGCGTCGCCGTGCCGTCTGGAATTGCGGCCCTTATCAAATCACCGTTTGATTCGCCCTTGTTTTGCGTTGTGTGTTGTGTAGGGGACGCGCCCGTACGTGGAGTGGAACTTCTCGAGGGCGCCCGCCGCACCGCCAGCGCCGACAGCGCAGCGCCGGCGGCCTCCACCGGAAGACGACGACGAAGACAAGGAGAACAGACCGCCAGAGGTAAGACCGGCGTCTTGAGTGTTTGGATTCGGATGCTGCAGCCGGGCTGTCTTCTTCTTCTCTTGACTGAAAACCATCTCCTGTCACTATCCATTGAGATGGATAAGCTACTTGTAGGTGCCGGTTTTTGGTTTCTTTCGTAAAGCCACCTCGTCACCCTCCCGCCGTTTGAAAACTATGCTACTTGGCGCCCGGGCGCTCCGCCGCGGTGGTTCGCGCCGCCGCCGCCGGATGGCGACACTGTGTGACCAGAAGCCGAGGGCGCCGAGGGCGCCGAGGGCGTGGGGACCACTACACTGTGGGGACAGGCAGGGCAGGCCAGGGCTGGGGTAGGTGGCCTAAGCCCGGACTCCAGCCTCCGCCTGGTGGGCCGGGCCGGCCGGGCTGGGGGTTCCCTGTCCCGTCCATCAGGTGCCACTTCCACGTGGTGTTTGCCGAGGGGTAGGATCAAGGGTAGGATTGTGTGGGTCGTCGTCCGTCGGACACTTCGACGTGTCTCCTTGGTGAGCCGCCCGTCAGCGCCGTACTCCAGACGCCCATGTCTCGTGTGTCTTGTCGCAATTTCGCCTACTTACAGTGCAGGCGGAACGCACTGAAAATCGCCTGCCTGCCCCAAGGCGCGAGCCAAGGCGCAAGCCAAGGCGTCTCTGAGGGCGGAAGGGCCGTAACTCCCTCCGCTGCGCCACTGGCGGGGGGCGCGACGACTTACTCCAACTCGGTGTCCGCGGCATTGTCGAGAAGAAAGGCCCCTCATGAGCGGCGCGCCGAGTCCTTCGGCCTGAATGACCCCCTTCTTGTCGTTCCGCAGGACTACCAGCCGCAGCCCCCGCCGCCCCTGCAGCGGCCCGTGTTCCGGTCCCGGCCCCCCGTCGCCGCCGCGCCGCGCCTCCCCGCGCCCGGCGGCATGACGTGGTTCCGGCCCACGTCCAGCAGCTCCCCCGAGCGGCCCCCGAGCGCCGGCCGAGCCGAAGGCCGAGCCCCCAGCGTCACCAGGTCACCGGCCAGGTCTACAGCCACTAGCTGCAGGTGAGTCTCACTGTCTCTCTCGCACCCTTTCCCAAAGCGATTTATTCAAGCGAACAAAATGAAGCGAGCCGAGGAATGTGTTGACTGTCTCGCTCTCTCTCGCAGCCGCACATCGGAGCGAAGCTGCTCCCCGGGCCCGGACCACGGCGCGCCGCCCGCCACCGTCCCCACACCACCAGCGGGCCAAGGCGCTCAGCGCGGCGAGGCCAGTGGAGTGTCCAGTGCGGTCGGCATCGTGCCCACATTCCGGGTGCCCGCCCACAAGCCCATCTTCCTGTCCAAGTTCAAGCCGACGCCCACGCCGGCCGCCAAGGCCAAGCCGAGGCCCGCCGGGGACGCGGGGACGTCCGTCGCCAAGGCGGCGAGGGCCGGCAAGGCGTCCGGAGAGTCGGCCAGCGCGTCGGCCAGCGCGTCGGCCAGCGCGTCGGCCAGCGCGAACGCCGCCCGGAAGGCCTCGGCGGTCAAGAGGCCGTCATCGGAACCGCTGCCCATCCCGGAGCTGCGGACGGCCGACGCGTGCAGGCGGGCCAGCATCCCCATGCTGCTGGCCTGGCTGCGGAGCCAGGGCGTGCCGTGCCGCGCCAAGGACAAGAAGGGCGACTTGGTGGACAAGGCCGTGGCCAAGGTGACCCAGATGGCGGGGCAGCACGCGGCCCGCTAGACCCAGCGACCCGCTAGAGCGACAGACGTCGCCCCGGGCGAGGCGGGGTTGATGTCGCACGCCCCCATGACCCCCGAGGCTGCAGGGCCAGGCCTGCTGCCTGCCTGCCCCCTGCCAGGCCTGCCAGGGCTGCCAGGGCCCGAAGCAATTCAAGGAGGGTGCGTTTATTCAGCACTGCGAGCCTGGGAACCGTCCACCACATGGAGGGAATCGGACTGAAAAAATAAGGACATTGGTGAAGATCGTTTCAATCAGATTTATTTTTAAACAGCAAAAAAAAAAAAAAACGTACGAAAAAAGATACTAGTCAATCAGCAGAATAGACAAAGAAGGGGGAAGCGTTGCTGACTGCACGGAAGAGTGAGAACCTTGTGCAGTTTGATTTTGTTGTTTTTTATTGTCCCAAGTCTAGAAGGTTTTGTTTTTGTTATGGTAACTTCTACATGTTGTTTACAGTTTGAATTTTAGAACTGATTAATTTTAGCAGACATAAATTGTTATTTCTTAAAAAGTAGACCATATATGGCATTTGTTTTATAGTGTGCGTTTTAGTACTGGTTGATTTTAAGGGACATCTTGATTGTTATTTGTTAAAAAGTATTTGTTTTGTTAGTTTTTTGTTTCTGTTATGACATTCATTGGTTCATACCAGCGATTTCAGTTCTAGAATGAGTTGTATGAGATCAAATGACATGCCTCGTTTTCTCCTGAGGTATCTTATCAGCTATTCTTATCCAATAAACTATCAATAAAATTAAATCCAAGCCTAAAGTTTAAAAAAACCTGTAGTAAATGAAATAATACTGCAAAGAGATTATGTAAAATGTGACCACTATATAACCTTCAGTTAAAATCAAAAAATGGAGTGTATCAAAGTAATATGAAATGTTTTATCTTTAGTTATCAATAAAAGAGTATCAAAGAAGCTTCTTGTGTTTGAATGTAAACCTTACCAAAAAACGTAAAACCAAAAAAGTATCAAAATAAAATAGCGTACAGACATTTCAAAACCAAGGTAGAAAAAGCTATCACGATTCACAGCCTTTCAATGTAGGCCAGCCACACTGCAGTGGTGGTGGACACAGCCATGCAGAAGGAGAAATGGCGATTGTTTCCACTCGCGGCCCGGGTATTGGTAACTTTTTTTTTTCGTTTCTGTCTTTTGCCATTGCGATGCGATACCACACTCGCCAGGGGAGGCAGGCCGTGCCACAGGATTTGGTCCGAATCGTTCGGATCCGCCCCACCACGCCACGCCACACCAGGGTCGATTGTTTTGAACAACTTAGCCGGAAAGGACATGTTCACCAGTTGAGTCCGAGGGACAGGGACCAGCCGGCTGCCACCAGGGGAGGAGGGGGAGGGGGGGGGGACCGGGTGGAACAGGCCCGCTCATTTGACTACGCCGCTCCCTCCCCACTCGAGGCCGAGTGCAGAAAGAGAAAAAGAGAGAGGCCGAACCCACCCCCACTAAATCCGCTAATTTTGCTTCCCCTCGTTTTTGCTGTTTACCGGAAGACGCGGAGTAATGCCGCGATATTGGAGCCGCAGTGGTCGCGACCCCGACCGGCCCGACCCATCCGTTTCCGGGTTTGATTACACTCGCCCCCCCCCCCTCTCTCTCTCTCTCTTGGCCCGACGAGCGAAAAGGGTCCATTGTTTCCAAATCATCATCACCACTGCAGCCGCCACTATCCCACTTTGCCTTTTGTGCTCTCTCTCTCTCTCTCTTCTCTCTCTCTCTCTCTCTCTCTCTCTCTCTCTCTCCTCTCTCTCCTCTCTCTCCCTCTCTCTCCCTCTTGTCTCGCCGTGAATGGACACAGCGGAACACGGACTAGCGGCGAGGACGGACGGCCGAATGAAATGAAAACTCGGCAAAACGCGCCGCGCCGCGACGCCGCCTAATCAAATAACGCCGCAAGACGGAGAGAGAGAGAGAGAGAGAGAGAGAGAGAGAGAGAGAGAGAGAGAGAGAGAGAGAGAGAGAGGCAGTGCGGACGGGAATTCGGTTTCGAGGCACGCCGTGGCGGCGGGGCGGCGGGACCGCGCCGAGCAGGCGGAGCAGGCGAAGCAGGAGGAGGCTGCAGACTGGAAGGTTCCACATTCCGTCGCTGCGGGAAGGCTAGCGAAGGCCAGTACGGCCCCAGGCCCGCGTGCCATCGAGCACGGCGGCGACACGCGCGCCACTCGGGGAAAGGAAAAAAAAAGGATGACGACGAGGACTGCCTGGTTTTCTAAAAAAAAAGGAAGACCCCGGTGACCCACAGGGCCCGTAGGGCCACGTGGTTTCAGCCCTGCAGGGCTGCAGCAGGGACTGCCTGAAGGTCGTGGCGCTGGGAGGGCAGGCGGGTCTCGGGGCGGCTGCATGGCCTTTCACACTGCATGTGGATCATTTTGGGATCGCTTTTCAACAACAACAAAAAAAATCTCATGATCGATGGCACGCGGGTCCTCACCGCAGCTTGAAAACTCAAATCTCTTGATACTTGAACGGGGCGAAAAGCAAACGCAGACAAAAATAAAATGGCAACACCAGAACGGCGAGGAAACCTTGTCGACTGCAGCCAACCACTCTCTCGGAACGTACACTCGCAATTTGCCGGCAGCAAACTGTTGGACTCGGCCATGACGGAGCACCTCCTGGTGGCACCACACGACCCCCCTCCCCTCCCCCCTCCCCTCCTCTGGCTTATCCAGGCTCTGGAGGCGGGTCAACTGACCATGATGAGACGATATCGGTGGGGAGACCATTGTCACACCTCGTGCCCATTCACTCACACATGCGCACTCTCTCGGACTCTCACGCGCACACACACACACGCTCACACACACACACACACACACACACGCACACACACACGAGCTCTCTGAAACTACCACAGCACGCACTCGCAGCAACACCCTTTATCTGTCCGCCCCGTTCCCGTCCGAACAGTACCGGGGGTGGTTTAGCCGAGGCCCCCCCCCCTTTCCCCCGCGCGCAAACCCCCAGGCCGTTTGCAAAGTTGCTTCCGACTACTTTTCTCTGTTAGTTGGAGGCCTACACTGGACGTGCCCTCCTCTCTATCTCGCTCTCCGTCCTTCCCGCGCACCTGGAGCCGGACCGCGCGTCTCCTCCACCAACAACTCCGCCGTCGTGGACGACGCCCGCCCCGCGCCCCCACCGCGTCCCGCTCGTGGCGCCCGGGGGACTGATCCTCTCGCACTGAGTGTACCGCTACCACTTCCTTTCGAGTCACTCCCTCGTCCCGCCAGCCGGCCCGTCTCTCTCGCACCCAGACGGCACGCCGCGTGAGTGCGAGAGAGACGGAGAGAGGCGCCCCGCGCGGAATCGGCCTGGCTGCGCCAAGTTTGTTTATTTTCTCCGCGCGCTCCGTGGAAAAAAGTTTGAGCCCTGCGGGCCGGAGAAAAATGCACGCCATACGTCGCCGGAAGTGTGTCTCCCTCTAAGGAGCGGGACTCGTCTGGAGTCTGGACGTCCCACAGTGGGCCAGAAGACCGGTGGAGGCGGCCAAAACTCCAGACGCGTTTTGAGCTCCAGAGTCGCTAAATGGGACTCGAACCGAACGTGTGACCCCACCAATGGATTGCTCTCCGAACGAGGAATCCATTGGTGGGGTCAGACGTTCGGTTCGAGTCCCATTTAGCGACTCTGGGGCTCAAAACGCGTCTAGAGTTTTGGCCGCCTCCACCGGCTTCTGGCCCACTGTGCGTCCTGAGCGCTCGCGGGCACGCCGCGGGGCCCGTCCAGGAGTCGCGCCCTGCAGCCCGACTCCACCGACAGCCGCCTCGTCGCTCTGTCTCTGTCGCACACACGGAGCGGGCCGTAGGGGTGCGAGAGAGACAGAGCGACGAAGCGACCCAGCAGTGTCACCGGAGTGACGTCCCCGTGTCCACGTCATGTCTGTGGGTCGCCGCGTGCGGGACGGCAGGGGGAGGAGGGAGAGAGACAGCGAACAAACGGACTCGCAAGCGAGAGCGACCCGGACCGAATTATCGCCACACTCGGCGGAAGAGTAACGAAGAAAAAAGATTAATGTATCGATGCGATTTCCCTGATTAAAGCCTTAATCTGATATTGCGTGCTGGATTGTTGTTCGCGCGCGAGAGAGAGAGGGAGACGGAGCGAGTTATTCCAACCGCCCAGGGCGCGGCGCCGAGGTTAAGGGGAAGGGGCTGCAAGGGCCGATAGGCAGAGCCAGGCAGGGCAGGAGGGGGCCGTGGTGGCTCGGGAGATAGAACTGTGGCCTAATCAAGGATTCCAAACACCGCATTGGCCTGATACCATGGTACCCGGTGTGGTGTGCTATTGCAACGACGGGGCGTGGCGTGGCGTGGCGGGGCGTGGCGTGGCGGGGCGGGGCGGCCGACAGACAGGCCGCTCGACATGACAAGCCAGCCCCCGGGCACGTTGTGGTTTGCATCCAACGCACACAGTGTGCCACACACGCCGCCGCACGATCGCCGTCATGTAGGTCAAGGCCTTCGAGGCTGCAAGGGGCGCGGCCGGTGCAGCGCGCAGCCAATCAGGACGGCGGAAGGCGACGGCGACCTCGGCGACGCGGCCTAGTTGACGGCGCTGGCGGCGCTGGCCGCGCAGTGGGCCAGGCGCACGGGGCACTCCTTGAAGGAGGCGCGGTGCTCACCGTTGCAGTTGACGCACTGCGTGTGCGTGGAGGTGCACTGCTTGTGGCCGTGGCCGAGGCGGCCACACACCAGGCACGTGGTGGGCGCGGCGCAGTCGCGGGCGTCGTGCCCGAAGCGCTGGCAGTTGTAGCACTGGCGGACGCGGCGCCGGCCCCGCGGACGCGCGCCGCCCCCGGAGCCGCCCCCAGAGCCGCCCCCGGAGGACGACGACGCGGGCGAGGACGGCGCCGGAGGGGCGGCGGGGCTGGCGGCGGGGGCGGCGGCCGCGATGACGGTGACTTGCTGGGGCTGCTGGGGCTGCTGGGGCTGCGGGGGCTGCGGGGGCTGCTGGGGCTGCGGGGGCTGCGGTTGGGCCGGGGGCAGCGGCACCAACTCAGGCGGTGCGGGGTGGTGCATGGGGTAGTACTCGGGCTGCGGCTGGTACTGCATGGCGAAGGGGTGGTGGTGGTAGGGCACCTCCATGATGAACCTGCGAGACGGACGGTTGCAACTTACTGCACACTCCCTCGAAAAACTGAGACGATGCGACGAGGCAGAAAATGATCCCCACACACGTGAGCTCCCTGGCCACCATACGAGAAAGCAGCCCCACGAGAGCGAGAGAGACAGAGCGACGAAAACGACTCCGGCTTAAAACCGA